GGGGGGGGAGAAGAGGGATTGTTATTTACAGAAGATAAAGTGATTTGTGCATTCTGCTCAGCTCACAGGAAGTGACAAGGACACAACATTGCTGGTAGGATCAACAGGTATTTTCTTCACGTAGTTAGCCTCTGCGTCATCTTACTGTCCGGCGTCCTGCCCAAGACGTTGGGTTGCCAGGAGCTGAGCGGGACGGCGGCCACCAGAGGGTCCCTGGTTGCCAAGATGTGTATGGCCCTAAGCAAAAAGTTTTCCCAGCACACTCGACAGCCAGCATGCAAAAAAATCTGTCTCACCGCTAAGGTTAGAAACAGAGGTTAGGTTTAGATACACGTCTGAACGTGTATCTAAACCTCTGTTTTTAACCTTAGCAGCGGTGAGAAGTTTTTTTGCATGCTGGCTGGCGAGAGTGCTGGGAAAACGTTTTTGCTGTTTGCACTGTATTGGGCCCTTCCATGTGCACCGTGCTGTAAAGCTGGAAACAAATCAATGAGTGCGTTTGCCATTTGTTTTGCGTGTACGGCCCATAGACATCTCCCCAACTGGCTCTTGGCAACCTGGGACGCTCCAGCCGGAAATGGGGCACAAACAGCGGGGCGGCCATGACGCTCTAACTGCTAGCACCTCCCCCCCCCCATAACTTGAAGAGATGTCACCTAAGGGCAACAGCCTCATTACAGGGACGGCCCTGCTCACTGTGGACAGAACTTTCTTGCCTAGATCAACACACATTGCTTTGTAGAAATGAACACTTCTGTTGGATTTCTCGGCCCATTGCAGGGACATAGATGTTTCCTGAAGTACGTTTCGGGCTTATGAATTATCTATGAGAGATTGCTGAAAGCCCACAAGACATTGAAGATCATTCTGGGGGAACTTTATCTACTTCCAACATTGGGAGTGTCCAGAGTGCCCATTTCATGTTCCATTCTAATATCTCATAGAAGTCATTATCAGCCGAGAAGAATCTTTCCTCCCCATCCCTCCCCTCTTCATAATGGCATCTTCAACAGGGATTCCGCCTCTCGCCATTAAAAGCATCTTCTAGTTATTTCGTATGAGACTAGGGCTGCAACAACTAATCGACATAAATCAATTATAATCGATTATTGAAAAAGTTGTCAACTTTTTAAATAATCGATTAATCGGCTTCTGATCAGTTGGCCCTGTTCACGGCTCCACACACGAATTTATGAATTAGTCTTCAGCTATCCAGCGGCTGTTGGAGCCAATCCCAATTGATTATTTATAAACAATTTGCAGAGCCATTCACTCTGCACATCTCTGTGAACGTTCGTTCTGTGCAAACGCAAAAATGAACATTCTTAGTCTTTTCAGGTCAAATGTAATGTAATACCGCATGATGGCCACTAGAAGGTACTGAGGAGCAAAGGAAGTAAATATTTTATCTGCTCTCCAGCTCCACCTAGTGACCATATGACAATTGCATTACATTCGACAAACTATTTTTTTCACAATGCTCAGCTCCATTTAGTGGGCATAATGTCCCATTACATTCATTCGGAAAATAAACTATACTAAGAAGGTTCACATTTGTCGATCCGTACAGAACAAACGTTGACAGAGATCCAGAGGGCGTATGGTTCTGCAAGTTGTTTATAGACCCCCTAAGTGTTCATTATTTGAGCTCAGATTGTCTATGCCAAGATGCATCTCTGGCAAAGTAAAACAAATTTGGAAGTTCTCTTATTAAATCCCGAAGGATATATAGTAGGGCTGCGGAAATTAAAGATTAATTTCTCGATTAATCGTTAAACTTTTTGATCGATTAAAATGATTTTGATCGCTAATGAAAACACTCACCTCTCCGCCAGCTTCCTGGAGCCCCACTCGGCGATCCAGTGACGTCACGGACATCGGCGTCACCGGGCACCTCCCCCCTTCCCCAAGTGGCACCGTCGGCTAAAGAAGGGAAGGGGGGAGGAGTCTGGTGAAGTCGATGCCCTTGACGTCACCGGACACTTCCCACCGTCCGTTAGCCTACGGAGCCACTTGGGCCGGTGAGTTTGCCCAAGAAACTTTCTGCACGAGCGCCAGCCAAGGCATTGGGTCTATACACATACAGCACAGCTATTAAGTAATAAAATGAACTAGGATCACACTAATCCAGCACGTTATTATTCTGAGTTGCCCCACTCAAGCGGCGGCCATATTGAGTGGGGCACGGGAGATTAATAACGTGCTGCATTAGTGTGATCCTAGTTCATTTTATTACTTCATTGCTGTGCTGTATGTGTGTAGGCCAATGTAGTTGGATCTGGATGTGCGTTATAATTAGATCGAACACGAAAATTTTAATCATTACCAGCCCTAATATATATGTATTCTTGGGCTGGACTTCAGCACAGATGAAGCACTTTGTTAAGAACTATGAACATCCCTGGATTCTCTTTTTCTCGATATAAAAAGATCTAATGACATATTGATAGGGTGGCCACTACAGACATGGTGCCGGCCTGAGCAGATGTATGAGTAACATTTTACATATCTGCATGTGGTGCTGTAAGTATATTGGATTCTATTCTATTTTCACGTTGATATGTGAAGGCATGGCTCAGTTGATGGGTTATCCCTGGATGGTACCAATATTTCAATGTAGGTGTTTACTGTGGTCTGTCCCCACACAGGGAGATTTCCCCTCACTTCCTGTCCATGAGACCCTTCAGGAGAGGTCAGCCAGCATTGAGCAAAGTGTGGACGAGCACAGGAAGCTGTAATTGACACAAACAACTGATAGAACCCGTACACTCAGCCCCGCGGCAGGCAAGCTTGGTGGCCCTGTGTGATAACCGCACATTGAGCGATTTCAGGGCTTGCCTACACAGGCTGCAATAGGCAATGCCCAGCACCCAACTTAATAGACGCTAGGCATCAACCTTATGGAAGTATCTAAATATTTACCCTGAACTACGCAGGATTACTTGTGTAGTTGGGTATGAGATGAAAGGGGAATAATAACGTCCTCTCATAGGTGTGTCTGCGCCATTTATAATGATTTGTAGCTGAAGTTTAGATGACAATCCATTCAGGGATGCAGCACCAGTCACACAACTGAGCTCTTATGAAGTCTGTGCTACGTCCTGATGACTACTATAACATTGCTGGATCCTCCTCACAGTGGTAAGCTTCGAACACAATCCCCCCCCCCTCCCCCCATTCAAAAACCTAAATATTATTTGCAAAT